TGGTGAAAAAATACTGTGAATCAGTGTAACATCTGTGACAAGTGGTCACTGCCAGATAGTTCGGAGAGAGCTTCAATGAAAATAAATTGGGGCATTATTGAATAATTGTATGTATCATGTGGAATTGAATTTACTAGTAGTCAACAGCTCATAATAAAAGGAAAAAATAATGGGAGGAGGAAACTCTTCTTGAAAAATGTAACTTGTGCTAAAAGTGTGCAGGCCCTTGGGTTATCTCAGCGAGAAATATGCCAAGGGATAAGTGAGGAGGGCATTGGAAGGGGAAAGCAGCTTGAGAATGAAGACAAGTCAGGAAGCTTGTCTTGTGGGAACACAGTGGAAATCGTTAGAGGAAACACCCCAGTTTCCTTGTTAAGGCCAATTTGCATTTCTATTAGCAAATTAATAAATTAAGATGGTGACTACTAAAAAAGTGAGTTTGATCACAGACTCCCAAAGACCTCCCTCCTTACGGGCTGGCTTTGGCAAACACTTGCAAATACTGGGAAGCCTCTTGAATATCCACTTGGAACACCATAAGCCAACAAGACCAGCCCTAAATACTAAGAAATTCAAGCATGAATCATGCACCATCAGAAAAGAAGAAATTGTAGGAAGGCTGAATTTTTGGCCAGCGTTTCACAAGTACAATTTCTGCCTAGCTGACAAGTCTTTCCCCCTCAGTTGTGTACATTTGAAGTCAGTTTTTAATGCAGTTTGCCAGCTTGAGTGTCCCAGTAAATTATCCTACTGGTAATTATAATTATTTTAGGAGTCCCATCAATTGCTGCTGACCACTGAATACCAGTGTGACTGCTGCACAATCAGACTTGATTCTAGGGCTTCTGTACAACTTTTTGTGCATCTTCTAAAGAGTCAGCAGAGGGGGAAATAATCTTTGCAACCCCAGCAGTCATCTTAAGAAAGTTTTGTGAAGGACTGTGAAGGCCTAGTAGCCAGTTAATGATGTAGTAGGAACCATTGAAAAGCAGCTACTTTATGCCGTAAGAATTAGTTTAGGGAGAGGAGGGGAAATAAGTGATCACCTTCTTGCATTGCCATACGGCAGCATGGGCTTCACCACACTAGGATGGGGGTCAGTCTAAACCTTAGACTGCTGTAGCTGAAAGTCCCTGAAATGTTTACATTTTGAAAGGTTGGCATAATGGCTCTTTGTTTGTTTGTTGTTCTACAAGGCTCTACAGAGAGACCTGGATAGATTGGATCATTGGGCTGATGTCAATGGTCTGGGCTTCAGCAAGGCCAAGTGCTGGGCCCCGCACTTGGGCCACAGCAACCCCAGGCAATGCTCCAGGCTTGGGGAAGTGTGGCTGGAAAATGTCTGGCAGAAAAGGACCTGGGGGTTCTCCTTGACCAGCAGCTGAACATGAGCCAGTGTGTGCCCAGGTGGCCAAGAAAGCCCTGGGCATCCTGGCCTGTCTTAGAAATGGTGTGAGCAGCAGGAGCAGAGAGGTGATTGTCCCGCTGTGCTCAGCACTGGGGAGGCCACACCTGGAGTGTTGTGTCCCGTTTTGGGCACCTCCATTCCAGAGAGATCTTGAGGTGTTGGAGCCAGGACAGAGGAGGCAACGAAGCTGGTGAAGGGCCTGGACAATCAATCTGATGAAGAACACTTGAGGGAGCTGGGAATGTTTAGTTTGAGGAAGAGGAGGCTGAGGGGAGACCTCATCACTCTATACAACTACCTACTTTATAGAGTAGGGATGATGGTTGGACTCGGTGATCCCCAGGGGTTTTTCCAACCTGAATAGTTCTATGATGCTATGATTTTGTGTGCCCACGAGTTTTGTCTGGTGAGTTTCCCCAGGGCTTCCTCCAGCTCTGCAGCAGTCAGTCCCTGCTACACTCTCCTCATCACCCCCTTGTCTTCTCTCTTCTGCAGTATTTTGCCAACGACCTCTGTGAGAAGTGGATCATGACATCAGGACACATGCCATATTGCCCCAGAGACATTCAACATCCAATCAAGTGAGCAGCACAGAAGGTGACGACCCAACAAAACCAGGCAGCTTTGCTCCAGGAGGGTTTTGCAGGAGCTTAACCCAGACCCCAGGCAAGAAAGCCCAGCCGTTCCAACCAGACCTGGGACAAAAGTCGTGCTCCCAGCAGCTCCAGAGGCTCCAGCACAGCAGCCTCCTCCACCAGGCAGGTCTGTGGGATGTGACCCTGCAGCAGCAACATCCCGGCACTTGATCCATCCTGAAGAACAGTTTCTTCTTATGAAAATATTGCAAGTCTGACTTGCTCCATAATAATTGCTTTTTGGAGTTTAAATAACCCACTTTTATTATTAAAACGCTAATCAGCATATGCTGAGGTATCAAAAACTGTTCTGATAGAGGCATTTCTTAAAGAAATAAAAAGGTTACAGTATTCAAATCTTACTTAGCAAGTTAGGATTTTGCCACTTCTTCTATCAGTGAAATGCTGTTTGTTTATTCACAGAAGCTTCCTTTTATCTCAGCTTCCTTAACACCAGTTTGGCTTCCCAGTGACGTTTTCTGTGTTCCAGTTACAGTTGAACTGCTGCTTGGATGAGCTGTGCAGAACTGTCTCAGAATAGTGCTCCTCCCCCTCTTGGCATCAATTTACTTAAGAGCCCAGATTTTCAGAAATACATTAGAAAGTCAAGTGGAAACTTCATGGTGAAAAAGTGTGGAATTAGCATAGCATTCCTAAGATATGTAATCCAGATACCATTGTATGTGCACATAAAGAGAGAGTGGATACAGTAAACACTGCTAATTGGGATGATGAAGGAGTCTTGCAGTACATGAGACCATCCACCATCAGTTATGTACTTTGCATGACAGACCTCTTCCTCAAGTGTCTCTTCTGCTGGCTACACACAGAGATCATGCTGATTTTACTGATTTGCTGGCATTTTCTCTCTTGATACATACACAGCATTCCTGGCAAAGTCTAAAAGAGCCCACAAAATAGCAGAAAAGAAAAAAAAAAGCTGATACTGGTGTTTTTTTAGAAAATGAACCCAAACAGGGAACTACCTTCTGCTCATTTTAATGTTTATCCTTTGCACGTTTAGTGTGTACTTTTTGTAGCACATAATATTAGCATGTAGTTTAGTATATACTAATAGTATATTATGCTTAGTATTATGTTAGTAATATATTTAGTATTAGTATACAGTTTTCTATCTTACAGGGTGAATATTGCACTATGTATGTCCTGCCTAATTTATGAAAAATCTACATGAAAAATATATATCTATTATTAAAATCTTGCTCTGTTAAAGCAGAAAAAAAACCACAACAGGTAAAACAGCATTGAACAGAGTTTGAACAGTGTTTGCAAAACACCTTTCGCCTCCCCTCCAAAATGTAATTAAAATACGTAGAGCAAATTTGTATTACCAAGACATCTCTAAATGCTGAGCAGTGTGTCACACTTGTGGGTGGAGGTGTGTGCAAGCTATATGGAATCATGGAATTGTCAGAGTTGGAACGGACCTCTAGAGACCATCCAATCCAACCCCCCTGCTAAAGCAGGATCCCCTGGAGCACATTACTCAGGGCTGCATCCAGGTGGGTTTGGAATGTCTGCAGAGAAGGGGACTCCACACCCTCCCTGGGCAGCCTGTCCCAGGGCTCTGTCACCCTCACTGTAATGAAGGTTTTCCTCATATTTCAAAGGAACTTCTCATGTTCCAGCTGGTGCCCATTGCCCCTCCTCCTGTCACTGGGCACTACTGAGCAGAGTCTGGCTCCATCCTCCCTGCACCCACCCTGAGATACTTCCAGGCAGTGATAAGGTCTCCTCAGCCTTCTCTTCTCCAGGCTGAACAGCCCCAGCTCTCCTAGCCTTTCCTCATAAGAGAGATGCTCCAGTCCCCCAGTCATCTTTGTTGCCCTCTCCTGGACTCTCTCCAGCAGCTGCCTGTCTCTCTTATACTGGGGAGCCCAGAATTGGACCCAGTTCTCCAGATGTGTCCTCACCAGGGCAGAGTAGAGGGGAAGAATGATCTCTCTCCACCTGCTGGCCACACTCTTCCTTATGCACCACAGGATTCCACTGGCCCTCTTGGCCACAAGGGCACACTGCTGGCTGATGGATTATTTACTATCCACCATTAAAATATGTGGCACCCCGATTATGCCCAGCACTTTACATTAATTTGTCTGCAAGTGGGGCCTTAACTTTGTGTCTCTGCAGTTGCACTGAGGGAAATTCAAGGATAGAACAGTTGTGCGCTGCATGTGTAGTTTGCTAATGCAACAATGGCAGCTGTTGCAAAGTGACATTTTCAACCTTTCCTTTCCCTGAGAGCACGGGAACAAGATTGCCTTGTACCTTTTCCAAGCAGTTAAATTTAACATTTTATGTAAAATCTGAGCCCACTGTCAGGAATGACAGTTGCAGATTTCTAAGCCATCTCTGTAATTGCAAATATAAAATCTAGCAGAGCAATAACAAATCTAACTTCAGAGTTAAATAAGGAGAATAACTGAATTACAGACACACAAACACATTTTATACATGAGCCCTTAACACTTGCACTACTGACATACACTTGTGTATAGCACAGTCACTTTGTAACCTAGGTGTTAAGGAAGCAGTTCACTTGCCAGGGATAACATAGACTGCCCTTTGCTTTTGAATTGAGCCATCACAGAAGCTAGAAACTGTCCCCAGCCAGTGTGTAAGCAGGGCCAGGGCAGTGTACTGGGAACAGTTTTTATTTGGCAGTTCCAGGGCCAGCACTCAAGGATGGCTGGGCTTCCATCAGAGATGGACCTTGCTGTGAATGGTCATCCATGTGAGGGAGGCTTTTGAGGTTAGCTGAGGGCCTGGTGCTCTTCCCAGAAGGAGCACACCTTGGATTTTGTGGCTGAATTATTCTGTTCTTCTTCTCCATTACTGAGCTCTGGTGATTTGGACAAATCTTTTCCATCCAGGATGTGTCTGAATGAAGGAGCTGCTGTGGGAATGATGGTGTAGGTTGGAGTTGGCACTTCTGCTCAGCACGAGATGACCAGAGGGTTGGCCAAGGACTGGCGACCCTGCGCCTTCCCCAGAGGCTGGCTTTGTAAGAGTTCACAGGCTGTCAGCTCCTGGTAAAGGGTATCTAGGACTTCAACTAGGTGGGCTTTTCCTTTTAACAGAAAATTGCACACATTAGAATTTGAACAGAGACAGAAGGTTTCAGCTTAACAATTGTAACACAAACTCTCTCCAAATAATGAATTCCTGTCCCTATAAAAATGAGAGTGGGACTGGGTGTGATGACTGTTTTCTTTACTGGTTCTCTTGCTTCATTCCTTGCCCATTCACTGACTTCTTGAGTACTTGTGTGAACAAAGACTACTTCCTATCACAAGACAGAGTTGCTAATCCAACTGTCCCCTTACTCATGTCAAAGGGGAAGATGATGTTTGATTACAAAGCCTCAGGAAAGCTGCTCGAGTCATATCAAGTAACAATGGAAAGCAGAGGTGAGCTCTTCATGGCAATGGACAGAGGGTCCATTCAGGGTCACTTCACTTGTGAGTGTCATTTTTAGGAATCTCAGCTGTGCTGCCCATACAGAGGCAGGTACATTGTTTCAGCAGCATCACTTGGGATTCACTGTTCCTCTGCAGGTGGACACCTGTGTGCTGTGGGCACTAACAGTCTCCTCTTCTCTTGTTCTGATTAGGATAACATCTGACCTATGGCTCAGACAGTTTCTCTCTGTGCTGGTGTCCTGGAACCAACAAAGGTCTGTCTTTGCTCTCTCTGCTTCATCTGCAGCTTAGCTCTGGTCTGCCCGTGCCCTGAACTGCTGGACATGAATAACAACAAGTCTTGGAAACTGCAAAACCCAGAACAGTTTATAGGTTGTTCTCCCTAAATCATTGTTAATAGTGTTCTTCAAAATTAAACCCTCAGGCCACATCGAGTCTTTTATGATTTTGTCTTTGGCTATTAAAAGCACCTCCAAGCCATGTTCTTCGACCTGGTACAGGATGTTCATTTCATGAAGGTAAATACAAATGCTCTGCTACTAGGAACACAGTAATCAAATCTAAACCTCCAGGCTGTGATCCCTCTATGGCTCCTACAAAGGCAGCTCTGGCACACCAGGCCATTGTCAAGGGAGAGGAGTTTGCAAGTTTAATTTTCATAAGAGGAACACAAAAGGCTGTTATTAGAGGACAGCAGGTTTGATCTGGTTTCTTTACAGAAATACTCTGTTTTGTGTATTTGTTTGTGTTATAGCAGAGAAAAACAACACCCAGAGGGATATCAAACCTGAAACATAGGTGCCTTAAAGATTCAGTGGTATTTTCCACTTTCTCATATCAATGAAGCCCTACAGACATTAGTGGGATACTGAATTCTAATTAAAATTTGGCTAACACCCACCCCCCCCAGTTTGTTCCTGTTTCAAATGTGTCACAGACTGGAAAGCAGAACTTTCTATAGTGAATCTTCTTGCATAGTACCTCTTTCTCCGTGGCCTGTTCCCCAGTACTTGAAGTTTTTTTTTCCCTCCTCATCTGTTCATTATCTACTTTTTTTTTCCCAAAAGGACACTTTCTGTGCCTCTTGGTCTTTATATGTGATGTATTTTCTTACCAGGTTGGGGGTCTCGGCAGGATTCCAAAGTGCTCAGCAGGATTTTCCCCAAGGCTCGCTTAGATATGTTCTTTAAAAAAACAAAATAATATCATGGCACAAATATATCCTTCAGCACTTTGAATGTTTGCAACCAAATCTAGGCCCAGGGTGTTTGCATTTGGAAATTAAAACTAAATGAAACTGAATCCTGATAACACAAGGCTTTATTTTCAAGCGCTTTATCTTAGATGCTGCTCAAATAATAGCAGGAGAGCTCCAGTTTCTTCATCTGGCTGTAGAAAGACTAATTGCAGTTTTTCAGTGGAAAGAAACTGAGTTTTCCGGAGTGTGGTCCTAAACAAAGCTAGATTGCCAGGAGTGTGAGCAGGGCATGCACAACCAAAGCTTGTTCAGTCCTGTGCTAGGGCTGTGTTGAGAAGTGAAGGGACAGACTGTGTGGGGTAACCTCCAAAAGAGGCTTCTGGGACCCAGCTGCTCTGGGAATCCCTGGGAACCACTTTAGGTACAAACAAATTAGAAGAGATTGTATGTGTCATGTGGCAGGGCCGCTGTGTCTTGAGAGGTGATAAACATTTGCCAAAGTGAGAGGACTGTAAAAACTGCTTAGGGTTTAGCTGCCTTTTTCAGGGGTAGCTGCGTATTGGTAATCTGTTGGGACATGACATCATGTGTCTAGAAATACAAACTCTCTTAATTTGCTGTTGAGACACTAATGCTTCCTGGGAGATGGTCTTGCCATCAGTTTAATTAGCACTTAGGGCAACCATGTCTGCAGGGACAGGTTGTTCTTGTCATAACTTCAAGAAGTGAAATAGATGGAAGCTCTTCTGGAAGAAGGCCCATGTGCCTGCCAGCAGCCCAGGCAGTCCCAGCCTTGCTAACCAGTACTGGTCCTCTTGCCTGTGCTTGTTTTCCCCAGGGGGCTTGGGGTGAGTGAAGAGCAGTTTGCAGGGGCTGGGGTTACACAGCACCCCTGCAACCCTGCCAGGGGCTCCCACTGCCCCAACAGAGCCTGCATCTGCCTGGACAGTCGATGCTTTCTGATGCAAATTAGATGCTCGAGGCATTTAAAACATGAATATGATGAGGAAGTGACACCTAAAACCACTTTCTGATTAATAAGCTTTCTTTTGTCTTATATATATCCCAGCAAGGACTTACGGGGCCATTGCTAAACTCTACTGGGAATGCTGCTAATTTACCCTGTTTGCTGACAGGGTCCTGTTTGCTGTCCTCTGTTGGTGCTGAGGGAGTGGGCAGCAGGCATGGCACCTTTCCAGCAGGGATTAGCATTAAGTGCTGTTACCACTGAGATATGGCACCTCGTGTGATGGATTGTCTCCCAAGGAGAAATGATCTGCAGTAACACCACTGACCAGTGAGTGACATGTTGAGCTCTTGACACAAAAGGTTATTATGCTTGTTGCCAGTCACAGTCTTTACTACTTTAACTCTGCACTGAGTTGTTATTGATGCATGTGTCAGACTTGCAATATTGAAGTAGAATTTCCACGTCAAGTGCTAAAATAAGTTACCAAATTAAGAGATATTGCACTTGTTCCCTAGAGTGGAACATGGGCATGCTTTAAAAAAAGTAAAGTGATGATCTGAGGAAGCATTCTTATCTCACATGGATTAGGCAGAGCTTTGCTGAAAAAAGCAAAGTCATCATCAAAGCAATGAGCTCCTGGCAGCCCAGTGCAGCTCCCAGTGTGCTCTGGGTTCTACAGATGAGCCAACTGGTCTCTCTTTGGCCAGCCCCTACCATTAGCACTCCCAAACAGATTTTCTAAAAGACTGAGCTGCCACACTGGCCACTTACTTCTGGGTTGTTTTTACATCAGCTTTTATAAGTCCTTGTTTGGATTATTGACTCAGAAACCTCTCACAAATAGTACCTTCCTAGTGTATAGGAATGAATTTTACCCCTTCAACACTGAGCTTGTGCCACTCAGTGCCACCATAGGATGCAGTAAAACAAAGATTATTTTCTAGAAGGAAAAATAATAATTTAGAACCTTTCTGATTACTAGCACTTTTCTTTCCTGGTTTCCTCTACAGTCTTGCCTAGAGCTTAATGAGAGCTTAGAGATCTAGATCCAAGGAGGCCTAGAGACCTCCTTTAGGAAGTCAGCCATAGAAGTCTACAGGTTTCCTGCAATCACCAGTCAGTTCCCAGGGCAAACACATGCAAACCAGTTTCCTGATGTAAAAGGACTTTGCATTAAACAGAGGATATGAGCATCCTTTTTAGTTTGAAAGGGGCACTTTGTAAACCATTTCCAAGTCTCTGGTGTGCTTTCTTGCCATACCAAGGCTCGAAGTTGCTGGAGAAGCTGTAAAACATCCATGAGCTTTTCTTCCACCAGTGACAGCCTGACTCTCTCAGTCTCCAACATCTGCAGCTCCATCTTCAGCACTTCAGTCTCCTCTGCCTTCTGCTGCAGCTCACCTACCAATGGGCCTTTTATCTGCAAAATGAAATTAACAGGAAATTAAAAAGCACTGGAGCTTTTCACTTGCTTGCCCAGTAACTGCAAAGCTGATTCTTCCACCTTATCTGGTAAAGTCACTTCTCTCCAGAAGGTCATTTCGAGAGGAAGCACGTTTCTTTAATGTCCTCCATCAAGTGAAGAATCAATAGTTGCTGGGAAATGCATCTTTGCTCTTGTGCATCATGACAGCTCATCCAACACTGGGTGAAGCAGAACATTCAGAAATTTTAAGTACAAGCATTACTATTTTAGTTTTCTAATCCTTTGCATTCCTGTCATCCTCTATAAAGCATAACTGATTTGGTGAACCCACCAATGGGGTCACGTTTTTGTCTGGCAACTTATCAATCATCTGCACATTCAGTGAAACCAGAAGGTAACTAGCTAATTTCTGCTAAGTATTTTGGTTTAAAAAGGGTGCCTTAAGGAAAAAAAGAATTCAGATTCTGGTTCTGCAAAACACTGGTGTACTTGCACAGAGAAGTCTAGATTCAGCAAGACTTGTGAACACTACAGAGGTCCTGGGGAGGAGAGGTCTCCTCAGAGCTGGACCTTCCAAAGCTGAGCTGACCTGTTAAGTTGGCTCAGGCTTCCCTGTGGAAAAATGTTTAGGATTTCAAATGACATCTTTTGACATCCAAAGCTCCCACACCATTTGCAAAGTATCTTAGCTTGTCACAGCCCTAGGCCTGTTGCAGATAGGTAGCCAAGTTGCAAAAAAGAGCCTGAAAAGTCTCACCTAGAAAATATGTCCCTTAAATACTAATTTGGGATCTAAGAGAGCACTGACAGATTTCAGGTTTGTGGATAAAAGTAACTTACTTCTCAATGATTACTGTGCCCAGCATTCTGAATTATTCCATTTTTTGCAATTCCTTGTAGCAAACACAGCCTAAATGCATTTAGCAATATTACACTGAGAAACAAAATCATCTGGGGCAAATGCCAAGTTTGCTGGCTCTGTTAATCCCTTTTTGTTATAATCTTTTATCTTTATTGCAGTTTTAGAAATAACTGGGGAGAGAGCTGAACTAGAAAAGCTGAAGACATTAATATGCACGCTATTTAATATATTTTTTGGTGGAAATTTGTATCCTAATGAACTTTAGCAGAGCTTCAGTTCCCTAAACACAAGTGTCATCAGAGCGGAAAAAGAAAACAATCCATGCTCAATACTGAGCCTTCTATAAAGTTAGCTTAGTTTTTTATGTATTAGTAGGGATTTATTCCCATCAGCTGGAGTCCAGCCTGTTCCATCAGCTCTCCCTGAGCTGTGCCCTGAGGATTCCAGCTCCTTAGAGCTACACAACAGCTACAAGACTTTGGATCACTCAGTCTGGCCCCTCTGGCAAACGCTGCTTTCAGCACCCCTGTCTCACAGCCCGTCAGGATGAAGACACTGACACGTTCCTGGCTGGTTACCCCAGCGTGGTTACCCCCCGTGGCAGAGTCTGACTGACACATCCAAGCCCTGTGGAGAAGGTGGGAGGTCTGCAGTGAATGGAAGCTGTGGTTTCCTGGGTTATGCTGCCGGTTGCCTCTGCACTGGAAATCCCTCCCCCGCACAGATCCCAGCAGAGGCAGGGAGCGGGCAGTTCCCTGCACAGCCCCAAGCAGCTCACCGAGAGCTAAACCCCTCATGATTTACAGTGTAAAACAGGCTTTCCCAATATGCCATTAACTGATGGACATTCGCAGTGGGTGCTCATCTGTCCTGGCCCCACACTCCAGATCCCTGCAGTGCTGCCCTTAGCCCTGCAGGCAGATCTGCCCTTCCTGAGGGCTGCACAGGACCCCTCTGTCCCCCGTGGGGTGGCACGGGCAGCCCACAGCCCTGGGCTGGCTCACCCCCCCTGTGCACAGCAGCAGGACAAACCTCCCCCTGCTGTGCCTGCCCTGCTCCCGTAGTTAACCATGAGTTACTTCTAAAGCTGAGGTGCTGAGGAGGGATGGTCAGTGGTTAAGTGGCAGGGCTCAGAGGAGTGGGTTTTGTCCCCAGCTCTGCCAAAGCCCCTCAGCACAGCCTGGCTTTGGATCTGTGCCTGGCTTGTGAGATGCAGCCACTACCAAGCCAAGCACCAGTTTTGAGAAGTCAGCTGCTCACCCCTTATCAAAGGGGGAGAATGCTGTGGGGAAATCTCAGGGTGTGCAAATACAGCTAGGACAATAAAGAATAAATATGCAAAAATCCCTTGAAGAATTGTAAGGAAAAGGATTCTATTGTATTTTGCACTGAAGTTATGGAGCCTCTCCTAAGGCTCTCACAGTAGAGCCATTTTCACAAGCAGTGAACCTGAGAAACATTTCCAAAGCAGGAAGAAAACAGTAAGAGAACAGCAGAATGAAGTGCTGAACTGTGCTGTGTGATTTATCTTTCCAGTCATTTCACCCCAGGGGACTGGAGGGTGGAAAATGGAGCTCCAGTTCCTAAGAGAGGCTGTGGAGATCATCTGAGGAACAGCAAGTCTCCTCAGGAGTATCAGGAATTGTGAGGCCAACTGATAGGAACCATAATAGAGCAGGGACTTGGTGAATCCATGGAGGAACGTAGTGAAGCTTCTGTTAGATTTCTTTGGAAGGGTCTATGAATATGTATGAATAATGTTGATTCAGGTGATAGAGCACGTTTCAAATCTACAAAAAGCCCTTCATAAGGTTCCTCACCAAAGACTCAAAAAAACCCGATCAGCAGGTGGCACAGGGCAGTAGTGCAGATCCTGGCATGGACACAGAGCTGGTTAAAGCATGGGGGTAGAGTACAGAGTGACAGACCAGGAATGAGGTGGCAGATGAAAAGAATCCCAGCTAGGAAAGGAACAAGGGACAAAGAAGAAACTATGAAGGGCTTGCATTTGAATATTAAGCACATTTTCAGTTCTTCTCATTCAAAAAGGGTAATAAAGCTTGAAAAGTACATGGAAAAAGACAATAGAATAACAGAATAAGTAGTGGTTTCTGTACTGAGAGAGCTGGGGCAGGCTAGGAATGGTGATAACTGAGGCAGCATTTCTGGTGGCAAAGGTCTGTAAAATTATGAAGGACAGATAAACTGGCAGTGGATGATCAGGCAGTAGATTTAAAGCCAACAAAAACAAATCTTCAAAACCTGTTTCTAACTAGCAGATGGGAGTCCTTGTCCTGGGCTACCAAAAGCATTGCTAGCTTGAAAGAAAGGTAAATGAATGGTAAATAACTCCAGTACTAGCCATGAAATGGGATGCTCCTTGCAGCATCTAGTTCAAGTGCACTGGGAGCCAGGTGAGAAATATCTAGAAGAAAATCCTCTGAGCTGTTTCTCATTGCTTCTCTCTAAGCAACTGCTGCTTGCCATCAGGTGCATGATATTAGGATGAACTTTTCATTTGACCCTGTATGGCAGGTCAGAAACTAATTATCTTTTTAATTAAGCTGGCAGTTTACATGTGAGCTTTTATAGAAAATCATTGACATTTCCTTGCAATGCTATACTTGGCAGCATGTCACTTTATTTTTAGAATTCACAATTTTTTTCCATCTATTATTCCCAGGTCCTGACACCTTCATCACCCTGTCTGCAGCAGAAACAATTTTTAAATGGTTGGTTGTTTGAAAGCAGAACTTTTTAGACATGATGAAGTTCAGAACTCTTGTCCCCTGGTTTTACAACTCTTAGACACAAGCAATTATTAATCAGCATTTGAGATGGTGCTGCTGAGTTTGACTCTTGTTGGCTTTGTTGTGACTTGTCTCATTCTCAGCATTGAGCAGGTCGAAACAGAAGGACATAAAGCAACATCTAAGGTAGTTTTGTCAGGTCATCAGAGAACATGTTCTTGGTGGTTTATTTATCAAGCAAATACATTTGAAGTTGGACGAGAGCTTTTCTCAGGCTTCTCATTTGCTTTGTGTTGCTGACAGAACAGTCACTGTTTCACAGGAATTATTTATTACTTGTTAATCTGTTTTGTAGCATCAAAAAATACCTACAATGATAGGAAATACTAATAAAAATGAAAGGCTGGCAACACGTGAAGAAGTTGAATACTCTTTCTTTAAATAGTTTACCAACTAATAAATCCTTCCAGAACTACTGAAATCTTTACACTTCTTTTAAAGAAGGGGTATGAAATCCTGGACGTTAAGACAAAGCAGACCAAAGCACTGCATGGGATGCACTATTTTTGTTTCACAGAAAGACTGTTAGCATTTTAATCTATGCCCAGCAACAGCTGGAGTTTGCAGGATTTAAGTAGTAAGATGGGACTGCTGGGATACTGCACTGGGGTTTTCACCTGCTGTGTTGATCCCCTCTGCTGAAGGGAAGTTGAACATGCTGCTAAGCCTGAGAACTATTTAAAAAAGTATTTATAAATATACTGGTCTGAGCCTGAGAACCACCTGGAGTAAACTGGATTGTTTCCTCCAAAGGATTCCACAACAGGGAGTCCCTGCATCTCAGCAGGAGGCATTTCTTGGAAAGTTATTGTGCTCCTAGAGGAGGTAGATGTCTTAGGACAAAAGAGATGATTTTGGGACTGGAGTATCTCTCTTATGAGGAAAGGCTGGGAGAGTTGGGACTGTTCAGCCTGGAGAAGAGAAGGCTGAGGGGTGACCTTATCACTGCCTGGAAGTATCTCAGGGTGGGTGCAGAAGGATGGAGCCAGACTCTGCTCAGTAGTTCCCAGGGACAAGAGGAGGGGCAACAGGCACAAGCTGGAACATGGGAAGTTCCTTTGAAATATGAGGAAAACCTTCATTACAGTGAGGGTGACAGAGCCCTGGGACAGGCTGCCCAGGGAGGGTGTGGAGTCCCCTTCTCTGCAGACATTCCAAACCCACCTGGATGCAGCCCTGAGTAATGTGCTCCAGGGGACTGGACTGGATGGTCCCTAGAGGTCCCTTCCACCTTTGATAATTCCATGACATGGGGAGTGTTTCTCCACTGAAAAGATAGTGACAGAAACTAACCCTCTGGTTAATGTGTGGCTCTTTGGGCTGCAGGGGTTCCAGTCCCAGGCACAGCACCACTGAACATCTCATACATCTAAATAAAGGGTAGTATTTGAAGAGCCTGGGGCTGGTGTACATCTCATCCTGCAAACAAATTTAGTTCCAGGTAGGAAGCAGACTGGAAATGCAGATGTTACAGGAAAGCATGAGATGTTTGAGCTGGCTCACAGCACAGTGAAACAGCAGCAGAGAGGAGAATGGCGAGAATGAAATAAAAGATGCCTATGGATATTGATGCAGCTACTTAAAGATTCATCACTTTCACATTCTGCTTGGCACTTGTTACCTCTTCCATCTTTGCTTCCAGTTTCTTCACTTCATGCCCTTTAGGCCCAAGCTGATCAGTTAGCTGTGAGCTCCTCTCTGCCAGCTCCCCAGGGGCTGTGCCATGGCCATCAGTGTTGCTGGGCTCCAAGGAAGGCATTGGCTTTGGCCACGGTTTTTCATCACATCTAGGTAGGTATTAAAAGAAAATAAAAACGTCAGTGAAAGCTCATGAGGAAGGTCCATGTTTGTAAAAGCCACTTTTCCTGCCAAACTCTTGGCAGCACAGATCAGAAATGGGTGTCCCAGCTGACAGTGGTTAGGTGGGAATATCCAGCATGTTGTTTCCCAGGAGCTAGAAAGGATGGGCAAAGGGACCTGCTGATTTTGCTAACTAGTGTTCCTGGTTCTTACTGAAGCCATGGTGCCCCCAGGCCATGAGACCACCTTTGCCAAGGGCTCAGACAGCATTCATCAAACCTACCCACTGCTGCAGCAAGGGAGCTTGGCCAGGGCTTTCTTCATGGGGCCCACCTGGGATGGCTGGTCTGCCCACTTCTCCTCCTCCTCATCAGAGGCAGCCTGGCCCTCCACTGATCGGAACAGCTGATCCTCTGCTGGAGAAACAACAGCCCTTAGAGACAACCCAGCAACCCCCCTGGGCCACAACTGTGGCTGATCAAACTCCAGAAACTATAAAGCCTGGTGAAACAGGGCAGGGTCCTTCAGTGTCTGTGGAAAGGGGCTTTAAAGCTGGGGCAGGAGCTGCAGCAAAGAGTGTTATTTTGTGAGTCCTCAATTCTTCAGCAGGTGACTTTATATCTCCAGCTCTTTTCTTTAACTAGAACATGAGGCTGTTTAAAGGGTCAGGGTTTTATTGGGGTAGTTACTGTTCATATATACAATTGACTGTATGTTTTTCAAGAGGAATGAGAAATCATTGTACTGTGTAAGACTTTTTGCATAGTTATTGTACCAGCTGAAACCTCGTGGGAACACAGGAATTTAATATAAAAGTTCTTAATTCCTTTACTGTGTTTTGTAGGGGCAGTGATTTTAATATATACATTTGTTATTAGTCTCATAACTATCTAATATTTTGTTATATATATTTTTTACATAAACCTAATGTTTCCTCACGTGCCAAATAATGTAAATATGCATGTACTATTACAGTAATATTTCGGTATTTTTTAGTTTCTGTGTAGGTTCTGGGCAGGGTGCCCTTGGTAGGACAGTTGTGCTCCAACCCTGCAGAGCCTGCCCAACTGGGCTGCAGCAGCAGAGGGAAAAGGCCCTGGCATCTCTGTGTTAATGTAATATTCCTTCCAGCAGTGTTCAATGTGCTTAATTTACAGGTTGTCTTGTTCAATAATTTATTGCTCAAGCAGGAACAAAGCTTTGTTGCATGCAGTATGGCTCTTTAGCAGAGGAATGTCTGATTTTCATGGCAATCCTTACACTGTACAAACTAAGCACTTTTTTATATGAGGCTGTGCATGGCCAAGGAAACCCCCCCCAAAACACTTTCTGTTTTCAATCTGTGATACCTTAGTTCTGAACTCTTCCTATTATAATTTCTTTTCTTCCACAGGAATTCCAAGGGATAACAATCAGAGTTCATAACTGCACCTGTGAGAGCTGATTGCCCAACACTGGAGTCCTTTAAGAGCTTCAGACTGGTATGTTTCATCTAGCAAACTAATTGCAGCAGCTGGCATAGCGGATGCTCAGATGAGGTTTTTAAAAATGAAGAAAAAAGCATCTAAATCTTCAAGCTAAGATATTTAGACCTGCAATGTGTGTGGTTTTTTTCTTTTCCCTCCCTCCCACATGGGAATATCCTCTGCTCTGACTGAGTTGCCTGTGCACAAGAGACTGTGACATCCCCCTTGTAGGTTGTGATTAGCAGGACTGGAAACCAGAGAGGAGAAAAGCAAAGCTTCTTGTGTGTCCCTTTTAACATGAAGCCAGTCTTTTATTAAAATTATTTTACTAAACTAATATTTTTTTTTTAAATGTCAGTGAAACCATAGAACATTTTATTAATGTGGTATTTAGCCACTGATTTGTAAGATAGCAAATGCAGAATAACTTGTCCAATGCCAGTGATGCAGGAGTGCTCTTCTGCTCTAAGAAATTAGTATATGTTAAAGTGTACTTTATTAAAAAAGTAATTTTGCATCTAGATAAATGAATCTAGTATATCTGTTTATCCCAGTTGTTCACACAGGTTTTTTTTATGTATCAGAGTTATTATTCTTTTCTACATAACTAATCCCTTTTAATTTGATGGAACACTTTTTCACATTTTTAAGATCTATAAATCCACAATGGATTTCTTTGCAAAGCTTTTGCTAAAAGGCTTTTTGCACTTGACATGTGGGTACTGTAGGTCAGAGAGAGGACCTTTGAGTTGGCAAAGTGTCTGATTTGATAAAAATATTTGTAAAAGCAGATTTTATAACTCAAACTATGTGGAGAACATTAACTGTATTTACCTGTCTCAGTTTTTCACATTCCTGAGCAGCTGCTTGCCTGCTCCATTCATTACACACCCAACATCTATGTTTTTGTCTCTGCAGTAAAGGTGCTTCATTGCTTAGAGTTAATGTCAGGTTAGTGCTTTTGTCTTCTCTCAAGATGTGTCAAAAAAACCCAAAACAACGACCAAAGAGAGAGAATCACTGAAGATGATTTTCTAAAAACCCAGTGGTTTCTAGAAGACTTTGAAAGGCTGTTTCATGCAGTCCCATGGGAAATTTCTGGCAGTAGTTAGTGCTGAACAGGCTGGACCCTTTCAGAGTTAAGGAAGTGACCAGGGAGTTTCCAAAGACTGACAGGAGGGAATATGAACTGCAAAGGGTTTCTTTGGAAATTATTTTAGCTGAAGTTCTGAGTTTTTATATGCAAAGAAATAACATCATGTTTTTAAGCCAGGAAAAAGGCTTAGCAGAGGAGAATGATGGGGGGGGCTGCAGGGCAGGGGAAGCAGCTTCAAGTCAGCCCTTTGTGATACTGTCAGCCTTTTATTAAGCATAAAACTACGTGGGGTCTGAGAAGGAGAGAGCTGGGATGTTACCTTTTATTTGGGTCTAAGATTTCAAGATTCGTTAGGCTTGGTTAATGGCTTTGGTTAATGTTTGGTTAGTGTTTGTGCTGAGGATCCTGCAGCCCAGCAAGGAGAAGAGCAGCTGGGCAGGGGGTCGGTACCGTTCTCTGCAATCCCAGCTCCGCCAGTTGGGGATCCTCGCTCCTGCCTTCCAGCTGCTGGGGCTGCTCCCACCTTCTGCCCCGGGCTGCTCTCCGAGGGCAGCTGGGATCTCCAAGTTTCCGACCTGGAAAAGGAGAGCAAAGTAAAGTGGATGTGCAGGAAACTTGAAAAATCAAGTTTTTCACTGTGAGGGGCTTGGATGGAGTTGGGGTTGTTCAGATCTGCTCTAGAGGAGTGGGGTAGGTACCCCCAGTGAAATCAGCCCCCTGAGGGTTGCCCTCGGTTGCTTCACCAAGGATCAAAGGCAGGTGGATTTCAACATTACTTAGAGCTTTTAGTTCAGGCCAGAGACCTCTAGGAACCATCATGGGAACACTCTGCTCTGGCCACCGACCCTCCTGCACGGGCAGCAGAACAGCAGCCCACCCTTTGTTTCTACCACGGGCACCATTACACCATGGCTGGGGCACAGAGTCCTGCAGCTGGGCACTGGGACTGGCACCCAGTCAGGCAGTTTTGACCCAAGTCTTCTGAGTACTGGAGATGATGATGAAATGGCAGGTGTTGGAACTACTGCTCTTTCTATCAGAATGAGTTTGGTTTGGCTTGGCTCTCATACCTCCTGTTTCATAGGGATGTGCTGTCTCCCTGTTTCAGAGGAAATGCAATGGAAGATTGTAGCACAGCTGACAAATTAATTCAGACACTCCTGTTTATGTGCAAAATAGTCAGCAGGGTCTGTGAAACTGAAAGGCAGCACACAATGCTGACCTGATTTTCAGAATCTTGTTTTCACAAGATACACATAATATGGATCTTGCAGTCAAACAGAAACCACATCAGATCATGGCATATCAGTCCACACATGTAAGGTTTATATCAAAAGTTCTCTGAGGTAGGAATAAGCTACCTCTCAGGTATGGAGCTCACTGAAAGCTTGTCTGTTACATGTCTGTGTTGTGTAACATAATACCACAGTTTCCTAGAGGGTACGTTTCCATTGCTTCCTTCTTTACTATTTAGAAAACAGTTTACTCTCTGTGTTCACATCAGGGTATTTTCATATTAAGACAAATGATAACATGCTTATACTTTTCCCTGTAAGAAGCTGTTGTGTAGTTCAAAAAATCCATATGCAGAAGAAACCAAACCAAATTCAGGGGTTTTACAGTAAATTAATTTCCCTCTTAATCCTTTCTAAGATTAGTTTTGGTCTGATGAATACTGAATATTCCTTGTATTTAACACATTAAAAATTCCTCAACAAGAAGTGAGAGATAAACCACTTAGCAAATTGGACCTACTGAAACAAGTTGTATAACATGATCTTTTTGTACAAATCTTCTCAATACTTCCTGCCTGTAAATTCAACTACTGGTAGAAACTGGACTTTAGATGAAGTAACAGAAAAACCTGGTGCCAAGTTGGAGAGAAGTATTGCAGAGAGCTTGTGTTTGGTCCCACACAGCTGCTGTCAGTTCCTCACCAACCACACCAATGTTAGTTCCCTTGTTGCTTGTAACAGTATCCTGAGTAAGATAATGAATTTAACAACAACAAAAGTCAGCATTTCAAAATATCTGCAGGGACAGAAGCTGAGGCAAACCATGCTTAGGAACCAGCACTTCTTTTGACCCCTGAGCAGAGCTAACTGCATAAAAACTAATTACATTTTTTGTTGATTATTTATGGTATGATTTAGTTTAGCAACAAGTGGATTTCCTGTAAAGTCAAGGGAACTAGCAGCCTCCAGAATGGAGCCTGGCTAGTCATTTAGCTTCATTAGTTGTGGAAGAAGTAATTATGAAGTAGTACACAAATTAAAAGCACTCTTCAGCTTGGACATTCAAAATGGGGGCTCATGGAAGTGCTGCAGAGCTTCAGTGTTTTGGACAGTTACTGTGGGTTAGAGTAGTATTTCCTTTTACAGGAATGTTACCTTTTATTTTTCTGAAATGTGCTCTTATTTCCTTTCTTTTAGGACAAAAATATTTTGAGGTCAGGTACTCAATAAGAATCCTTTACAATTTCTTGAGGTTTGTAGCTGGTGGTGTGCAGATTTTTCTCCTAGTTTTGATCTCTTTTGGATTTCAGAGACTTCTGGAGTCAGTTCACATAATACAGAAACATTGACATTTCAGTGAATATTCCTTGTATTCTCAAAGTTGATTAAGTTTTTAATCCATAAACTACTGAGACTATTCAAGTATCATAAAATCTTCTAGCAAAAGTTGATAAGTGCCATGATGTTTAATGGGAGATCTGGTGGTGGTGGCATTAGCTTCTTATATCTGGCAGCCTGGTTGCAATTTAGCTTGTAGTCCCAAGGAGCAATAGAAGTTTGTTGGGGAGAAAAAAAATCCTTTCCACAGAATTCAGGACTTGGAATAGCAGATTCCCTCCACTTAGATGAGATTCAAGACAGACCTAAATAATAGTTTTCACCTGTCTGTAGTTCTTGTAAGGGAATTTATAATGACTTGATGAAATACAAAGTACAAACTGATTATTAAATGGTAATTTTCTTGAGAGGCCTTCATCATGTCTCTTTAAGGTGGAGAAATCAAGGGAGCCACACAGAAGGCATGTTTTGTGAGGTCTTTTTGCCTGATATGTTGATTAAAGACAGTCATACCTGTCTGCTCTGGAGGTGTTCAGCTGGGAAACTAGAAAGAAACATAAATTTTCCAGAATTGAAATATTTGTTCTAGAACAGGCTCTGACATTTGCATCAAACCACCTCGTGCCTCAGTTTCCCCAACAGAAGTACAGCAAAGTTAGTGTCCCTTGCACCCTGAATAAAAAGGCAGCACATATTAAGCTACAGTCTTGTTTTCTAGAACCACACATAGGAAATGTTTCAAGGTGTTTGAAAATAGGGGAGTTTTTCAATATACATGAAGGAACACGTGGCCAGACAAGCTGGAATTTCAGAGCTTGTCCATGCCAGATAAAAATGAGGAAGAAAGCAAGCAGCAGCATGAGTAATGGAAATCTTAAAAAGCCCAAGAGATTTTACATTTGATCAGGTAATAGACAATATCAAGGATCCACTGGAAATACCAAAGATGGCAATGTGTTGTTTTGGCACCTCTTGCCAGGCATCCAGTGTGACGTGATGCCAGACTCTGGTTTATCCACACTGCTGACCAGGAAAGGTGACATGAAAGGACAGGACCAAGAGCTTCATGGCAGAGGTAGAGGCATGAGGAGCATCCTGTGCAGGAGAGTTCCAAAGGAGGGGTGTATAAACACGATTGGCTTTCACTCATGGCATTCAAGGCCAGTTTAAGGCAATAATTTGTCAAGTTTGGTGCCAGAGGGCAGAGGTGGAGACCTTGTTGGCTCTACATATGTTGGGAAGGGGGCTGCTAATAGTGCTCAGGTCACTGCAAGGGCAACCCTGCTATCATGAATGGGAACTGAACCTGAGCTGGGTTGAAGATGGTTCTAATCAGAAACTGCCCAGAACTGGAAGAATTAACTGTAGTGAAACTAATG